ATGCTCGCCAACTTCAATACATCTCCCAGGTTTTCGACTGATATCAATATTGTAAAAGGTGAGAATAATATTGTGGCGGATACATTATCTAGAGTTAATGAAATTTCATCGATAGATTATGATAAAATAGCTGATGAAGAACTGAAGAGTTTGCAAACCACTACTTCCTTGAATTTCAAGCAATGTTCTCTACCTTCGGGGAAATATTTGTGGTGTGATACATCAACTAAACATATTCGGCCGTATATTCCTCAGGCTTTCAGAAAACACGTCTTTCAACGAATTCATGGTTTATCACATCCAGGAATAAAATCGACTATGAAATTAATGACATCAAAATTCATTTGGCCTAACATAAAAAAAGATGTACAGTTGTGGACAAGAACCTGCATTCATTGCCAAAAAGCTAAAATCAATCGGCACACCAAAACAAAATTAGGTGAGTTTGAAGTATCACCAGGAAGATTTTCTGTCATCCATATCGATCTCATAGGACCACTTCCACCATCTAAAGGGAATATTTATTGTCTTACTTGCATAGATAGATTTTCGAATTGGATGGAAGCAATTCCTTTAGAAAATATTTCCGCTGAGAACGTCGCAAGAAGCCTTTTATAGCAACTGGATTGCGCGTTTCGGAACGCCAAGTAAACTCATTAGTGATCGTGGATCCCAATTTAAAAGTGATACATTACGAGCTTTGTCCAAAATCTGTGGCATCAATTTACAACACACTACTGCCTACCACCCTCGTGTAATGGCAAAGTTGAGCGCCTTCATCGAACATTAAAAACAGCATTAAAAGCCCACAACAACATATCTTGGACGGACACGTTACCAACAGTACTTTTGGGTTTGTAAACGTACTGCACTATTCAAGAAGATACCAATCATTCTATTGCGCAAGTAGTTTATGGCCAGAGTCTCAGACTTCCTGGAGAGTTTTTCAGCGAACCAAGTATCCAGACAGCATCGGAGACTTTTGCTAATAAACTCCAGAAACAGATGGAAGTTGTTGGACCGAGACTAATTCGTAAAAATTCATCTGAACAGATATTTGTCCATAAAGACTTAAAAACTTGTTCTCATGTGTTTCAGCGAATAGATCGGGTAAAAAAAACCTTTGGAACCTCCTTATGAAGGACCATTTCCTGTTATTGATCGCAAGGACAAATATTTTACTATTAGCATAAAAGGAAAACATGTTAATGTATCCCTGGATCGCTTGAAACCAGCATATATTTTAGCTGAGGAAAATTCTCAGTTGATACAACCTGACTACAGTAATTTGCAGAGACCGGACTCAAATTCGGATGTGAATCAAAAACATTCTCGCACAGGCAGAACTATACGTTTACCTGTTAGATTCAAGGACTGACTAAATTATTTTGATAGTGGTTAACACTGCAATACTAGTTACTACCTATTTCTCCATCTTCGTAACGTAACTTAGTTACTGGTGGGGGAGTAGTGATTCCGTGCTCTTCAAGTTGCTCCTCCAAACTAGCCCTTGATAAAGAACTAAATTATTTAAAAGCAATAGCTATTGACAGGGGCTTTTCACCTAACATTATTAATCAAGCAGTTAAAAAATTCTCATCTCAACACACTAAAAGGCACACTCTTGTTTTAGGAGATTATAAAAATTCTGTTGTCATTCCCTTCTTTCCATCAATTAGCTATAAAGTTGCACATATTTTGCAGAAATTTAACTTTTGGGTTGTTTATACTCTCCCATCAATAAAATTCCGAGTTCCATACTCCAAGACCCCATTCTGTATATGAATTCCTGGGGTATTATAGGATTCCTTGCCAGTGTGGTATTACATTGGCCAAACTAAGAGAGCCTTAAAATTTCGCGTCAAGGAACATGAGTCATATGTTAGAAAAAAGGAAACACAGAAGTCTTCTGTTGCTCAACATTGTTGGTCCGAAAATCACACTTTCAATTTTTCTGCTGCCAAAATTATTCAAAAAACATCTTCCATTCGAGAAATGGATTTTCTAGAAGCATTTCACATTAAAAAAAACCTTTCTGTTCTAGTTAATGATCCTAATTCCAATCCATCTTTGCCTTTGGCCTTTAAAGAAATTATGTTTTAGTTCTGGTTTCATCAACAGATGGCGCCACTTGCTTATTCTTGTCCAGGCTTTCTTATCATATCTAATCATTATTTCCTATCTTGTTCATTTGCGGTTTTGCAGCTGAGGATGGTGGTTCGGCAGAACCATCGAAACTAGTCCTGTGAAAATTTTGAAAATATAACGCTGATTTTTGTTGTTTGACTTATTAGTATGCATGAGAAATAATTATTTTTTATTTCATATATTTGTTCATGTGTTTTAATTTTTTATAAAATTAACTTTAATATTTTGTTAATATTCATATTTATATTTCTTTTATGCTGAATGGCAATAACTAGTTCATATTTATATTTAAATTTCTTTATGCTGAATGGCAACTAGTTCTAGTTCTGATTCATGATTGCTAGGTTTTGGTTTCAAAACGTTGCTCGTAGCGTCGCATTTTGATAGCTGGAAAATAAAATGCAATAACTTAGCTATTTGTTTATAATTCATGCTGTTCCTAGTCATAAATTAATTTTAAACATTAGTAGCCAAGGCTACATTATACAGTCAAAAGTCGTTAATCCGGACTCGTCGGGACTTCGGCGATTCCGGATTATCAATTTTTCCGGATTATAGATCATCAGTTTAAATCTCGTAAGATGGCATGCAGAAATTCTAAAATTAAAAATATGAAACCGTAATTTATGAAATAAAGAACAATTATGATCTAAAGGGTATCAAAATTTACAAAAAGAAAAAGCTTAATATTTATTTGTTTACTTTATTAAACATTTCTTTTAATGTAAGTTGTAAGTTTTGCTTCGTTTCATGTGATAATACTTTCTCTTTAATTCTATTAAACAGACATAATTTCTTGTTCAGTTACAAAGTTCCGCTGTTCAAGTCCTATAATTGCTGTGTCAAGAACACCGACTAATTTGTCAATCGAAATTTTTTCGTTTTCAATAACCTCTGTTACTTTTTTCCGCTATCGGAAGCGAATTATAATGACCAGGAACTTGTTTTAAATCATATCAAAGACGGAGCATATCGAGATGAAATACTACATTTAGTAAGGAATTATAAGCCAAATAAAAAAAACATCTGCCCTGAAGATAAGGATAGTGCTGACAGATCAACTTCCAATTCATTACGCGCCCGCCGCGGCACAGCGTTCCCCCCGCCGAGCAGCGTGAAATTGATAAACATATTTCGGATTTCAAAACATACTTTTCGCTTTGTAGATCCTTTACATATTAACAAATATATATCGGAAATTCTATTTGACATAATTCGAAAGTTCAAGCTTACTTTTGTAAAATTGCTCTAACAGTCTGCAAAAAATAATAAGCCGGATCCAATTCGAAGATTAAGGAACAACGCAATCTGCAACATTAACTGAAATAGATAATTAGATAATTTTAGCTTATACTGTCCATTATACATAAAACGCGCACGCGTAAACGTATTCTGCACTTGCGCACACTCATATGCGCAGTCGTATAAGGTCTTACGCGCATGCACAAACGCCTATGCGCATGTGTCAACGTGGCGCATGCGCAGAAAGTTTTTAGTTTTGATGTCCGGATTATAGATCATTCCAAATTATGGGTGTCCGAATTAACGACTTTTGACTGTATTAAAAAAAAATAGAATTTCACAAATTAAGCTCATAAAATGTGTAGTCGTACATTACTAGCAGGCAAAATGCCATATTTCTGAAAAAAATCTAAACACTTTAATTTAGCAGGCACGCTATAGCATTATGATTCATTATCAAAAATAAAAAAAAGAAAAAGGTCCACACTACTCGCAACAAACAGAGCCTACAAATGTGACCCTTGAATTTTAAAACTGAACAGATTACTACAACCACTACAGACAGAGATGGGGTCATTATATGCGTATGTGACCGTTACTGTGTTGCCGAATAAATACATTTTCATAAAACTGGATTGCCAGCATAGCGATTTGCTCAATGATTCTTGTCAAAGTTGTCAGTGCAATAATACCATCCATTCTTTAAATCATTCTGAAAGAAAATTCATCTGAAGTTAATGCCATCAATTCTTCAAATTATTTTGAAAATATGTCCTTAAAAAAGTTCTCTTTTTTTTTTATGTGTCTGATGTTTATCACTTTAAAATGTAAATCTGTAAATAAATATGAGACTGATATTTACAGTCCACTCTCAACAAAATGTCAGCAGCCGTCTCTTGTCATAAAAGCAAGCTCTAACTATTTTTCTTAGAGGTTCTAGAAGAATTACATTTACCTATACAATATAGAATCTAGGTTTGAGAATTTCCAGATTTTAGATTATCAGTTAGTGAAATGGCTTGTAACATGGCAACATTGAGACTTGATGATGGACAATAATTCCTCACTATCTGGATTTGGTGACAAGGTCCCCGCATCCCCAATTGCTCTTTAAAAGGAGGAGTGTATAAAATATTTTCTGCCTCCTATTTGCGTGCGATCATGGTGTAAATGGATATCACGTCTTGCTAGCAATTGGGAGGTCCAGTATTCGAATCCCACTGAGGGCGTTGCACATTTTTCATGTTCATTTCAATAAATTTAATAACTCTACTTATTGTTTTGGTTAGATAGAAAAATGTTCACCCTTCCATGACTACTCAAGGGTTGAAAGTCTGATGCTGACCAGCATCAATACAAAGTCATTCAATATATTGCTGTTGGGGGTGGTAGGACTCCCTAGCCAGTAAGTGTTTGAAGATGACTTGCAAGAATACATGAGTGGGGAGAAATATTGAATTTTCTTTCTTTCTGACTGCTTTTTCTCCTTTAGCATTTCAAATTAAAAATTTTATGATTGCTTTTAATTTTATATATAATTAAATTTAAAAAGTATTATTGTTCTGTGGATCGGTGAAGTTTAAAATGCTGTATTTATTATTATGATTTAGATCCATGGCATATAAATGCTGAAGACCTGTTCCGTTCAAAAAAGAGATATTCCGGTCGGTATCATGAGAAAGCTGTTTTGAACTGTACCAGTTGTAAACAAAAGGGTCATACATCAAAATCATGTCCTATCCGAAGGGTATAGTATTGTTATAAATTTTGTATATACGTAGATGATTTTAGTGCAATTATTAGTAAAATTTTTGTATTTTTCTGTATTATGTAGATCTCGAGGGACAAAATTTGCTAAAAAGGTAAGATAATTAGTTAGATGTCTATTTAACATTGAGTAAATGGCCATCTCGCTAATTTGGCAAGATATTGAGAAACTGGCAACGGTTTTGGCAACTACTGTTTGTCCTCAGATTTGGGAAGAAATCGCCAAATAGATATTATAATTGAATAACTGTAATTGATGGTCAGTAACAGTATTTGCCTCTCATATGCTTTCTGTAATTTTGAAAAACAGAAAGTACTAGAAATATCTTGGCAGTCGCATGAGAACAGTAAAGACCTGAGTTGTAAGTTCAGCATGAATCGGAGTGCTGAGATATCTCCAGGTTTACTTCTCTTTAGATGCATTTTGCATTGCTTCGTGTTTAATGGCCTTAGTAGTAGTCTTATCAGTGTAACTGCTCTTTGCTCTTTGTGAAGGAGTTGTATGACTACTTTTGTGGACAGTTCCAGAACTTTTTTTTGTATACAATAATTTTTATCAAGCTAGCATCGGTTCTGTGTACATTCAGTCTTTACAAACCCATATGCATGCAACAGTTTTTGATGTCAGGATAGGGGCTGAATGCCATTGACAAGAACAATGGATGAGCAGTTAAGACAACTGGTAGCAGCCATTGCTGCATTCAAAGAAGCGATGAAAGCAGGACAAGAATCCATCAAAGAAAAGATGGAAGTAGGGCAAGGAGGGATGAAAGCTGGCAAAGGAGAAATGAACAGAGAAATTACGTGCATAACAGAAAACAAATTCGAGGCTATGGAAGACAGAATAGACATGGTTTGAAGATAAAGTTGGAGAAATTCAAGAAAGAGTTTCAGCTGTGGAACAACAAATTGAAGAAAGAGCTTTTGCCATCCAACAACAAATTGATGACAGTTTCTGCTGCTGTTGCAAAGGAAGTTGACAGTTTAAAGAAGTATAGAACAACAGCTGGTCATAGTTCTAGTGCCTAAAACCAGAGGCTAGACTTTGAAGCTCTGTCCAGAGCATTAGAGCCGTGCTTTGGGAAGAAGTTTTTAAAAGACTATAGTAGGCTTCAGTTAGAGCCGTGCTTTGGGGAGAAGTTTTTAAAAGACTATAGTAGGCTTCAGTTAAAATCTCAGCAACAGAGGCCTCCGGAAACACTTCAGGAGCTTGCCACAGATGTTGAAAGGCTGTCACATTTCACTTTTTCAGACTGCTGAATAGAAATAAGGCAAGTACTGTCTGTGCAGTACTTCATTGGTGGCATCCAGGATCCTGAGATACAGAAAGCCCTGAGAATGGCAAATGTCAAGAATTTAAAAAGCAACTCATACAGACTGTTACCCAATCAGAGCTGCTCAAGTCCAAGAGCAGGTGGATAAAGTGACTGCTCATTTAAACAGTTTAACCAGACCATTTAGTGCTTTGAGATGGAATAGAAGTGTCAAGAAACCAACCCTAAAGTGCTGGAACTGTGGTGCTGAAGCCCATGTACTAAGGAACAGCAGAACACTCTAGGGCATGGAAGCTAAGACCTCTCCCCAACAAGGAGAGAAATCGCTCGCTGGAGAGAAATTAATGGACATATCGCAGAGGTTAGGCTATCAGATAATGTGAAACCTCATTTTAAAGGTCTGCTGATTTTTGCAGTAAGTGGGGACAGTATTGAACTACCCATCAAAGAGCATATCAATAGAGTTCCTTGCAATATGACCACCGATACTGGAGCTAATTTTACTATCATCCAGAAAGATTTAGCTCAACAGTTGAAAGGTAAACTCATCTGCATGCCAACTTGTTTTAACCTCCAAACTGTGTCTGATGATAATATTGAAATTGATGGGGAATTCTGTATTAAAATCATGTTTGGAAGTGCCGCCTACTCACAACATGTGTCACAGATATTTCAGATCCTTGCATACTCGAATTAGACGACTAATATATTTTTTCATTGCTGTTTTATGCAATTAACCCATTAACCGCCAAAACTACAAGGAATGTTTCTTTTTTCATGAAAATAATAACAAATATTAAATTAAGCATTTATAACATAAATTTACATTGAAAATTAAAAAAATGTTCTTACCTGTGGAAAACGCGAGTGTTGCGTTCGCGCAACGTCAGCGGAATAAGACTACGGATGTTTAGTGAGTAAGATTGTACTTGTGTGATGTTTCTTTTGAGTGGAGCGCAGGATTACTTTTTAGCTGTATAACATTTTATAAATCTACAATATGAGGAAAACAAATCACTTTACTTGTAATTAATTTAATATTAAAATATACATTGTATTTCTTATACAAATACAGATTATTTGAATTGAAAGATTCAAACATGAAAAGCTTGATTACAATCATGATGAAAAACTACATTACATACTTTGCATCAATAAACAGTCTGGCTATGGTACTCTTTACAACAAAGTCTTTTATTATCAATGGAGTTTACGATAAAATGTGTACCATTTCCATGCAATGGTTTTTGAATGCTCAATTTACTAGGTCTTCCTGTTGTTAATCTATTTCTGGCTAATTCTACACTCTCAATAGGAGTTTACAAAAGAAATAATGCATTCTCGTGTCTGAAATCTAAAAGAGAATTTATGTTTCTAGTAGTAAAAAGTGGTGATATTTAGTAAGTTTAGATACGGTCTCACCTCATAGAATTTATCAGTATTGTCAATTTGACTATTGTCAAATGCAAATTTTGCTTCATATTCCTGTACTGCAAACATGATATCAATTCTCGTACAACAGGAACAGAAATGTCCTTATCAAAAGACAAATACATTTCTTCTTGAGGTAAAGAATGATATCCTGTAAGCAATAAGTATTCCAATAAATCTTCCATATAAGGCTTTCAGATGCAATAAATTCTGTGAGCTTTTTTTTTTTTTTTTTTTTTCCCTGAGCGTATATTATTTGTCTGTTTCAACGAGAAAGAGAGTAAATGTCTAACCAAAAAGAAAATCGAAAATCTGTGCACTAGGTTTACCTTGTGTTTTGTCTTTTATAATTTCTCTTCTGTGTGCCTCTTTCTTTATCATGTTCTTCCTGAGACATAACTGACAGTTCCTTTTTTATTCACTTCAAGATTTCAGTCTTCTGCTTTTTAAACTTTTTAGTATGACTATAACTGCTTTTAGAAGGCTGAAGCTTACTTCTTACGTGAATTTCAACTTCCTCAGCAGTATCATTAGGTAAAATATCATTTTTCACTATTTAAAACAATCCCATTCTTTTCTTCTTCATCACTAGCCTCTGCAATTTCTGGGGGAACAACAACAATACCAGTTTCATTCCGGTCATTATTAACATTATCATCATCTGTTTCTTCATCAAAAAATCTTTGAAGGGCTTCTTCTAATGTAAGATACCTTGTTCTAGGCATTTTTAAAGAACCAGAACATGAACCAGAACATTGAAAGGAATGAGTGAAAAAGGAGATTGACTACCCGTTTCCTGCTGACGTTGCATAAACGCAACACCTGTTTTCCCTTCCTTCCCAGTACAAATATAAACATCTGACTGATGTAATGTTCTGATGAACGGTGTGAAGTTTCTTCCCCTGATGAAAGACGAAGAACGGAAGTGACCTACCCCGGAAAAACCGGTCGAGGCAGGCTGGGGTGGGGGAAGAAAGACTGGACTGAGTGGGCACTTGGAGTTGGACCGGCGAGCATGCGGTGTGAGAGTATAGAGAACTGAAACATGTTTTAATTTCTTTCGCGCACCTTATATATATATATTGTATATAGTTTATTTTACAGTGTATTCATTGTATGGTGTATCAATAGTGCAGTATGTGTAATAAATTAGTGAAAAAAATGTCAAAGCGGACAAGTGTTATTTTCCCACTATGGTAAGTTCACACAGAAGAACCCAACTCGTGTTTTGAACGAGCACGAGGCATGACAAATGGCGCACCCCTGTAGGATAATGGGAAAAAGGAAATCACCAAAAATACGAAGGAAATATAGATCGTAAAAAGTGATTTGAGTGAACGTGGTTTAAATGAAGGAAATAATTCATGAAAGCAAGGAAGATGACAAAAGATGGTCATGAAAGACGGAAAGTGGCACGCGTAAGCCTACACGAAATATCGAAAGGGTGTATGAAACCTCGTCGTGTGAAAAGTGAAACCAGTGTGTGGTAAAAGTGATCATCAGTATTACTGTGGTGATATTATTAAGTGAAGTGTTATGCAGCTCGATGAGAAAATTGTACAGAATTGAGCACAACTCGTCATTTTCTACTATCGGGATCAAAGGTAAGTCCCTCTTAATTTCTTGGGAAGCACAATATATAAATAAAGAGAGCTCCCTCCCTATAATTACTATAGTAATGGAGAAAATTAAAATTGTGTTAATGTCGGTTAATAACATGATGAGAATGCCAGGCGTTAAAGCCAGTAGACACTTAGAAAGGTATATTTTATATGCAAATAAGGAATTATTGATTAATTTTGTTATTAAGGAGATAATGTATGCTAAATGAATGTTAAAATAGTTCAAAAATATGTCAGCAGTAATTTCGAAACATTAAATTGTGTGCTCATGTTACTAATTAAGGTAAAAATGATTATCTATTTTTGTTGTTGCCGTATTTTGACAAAATGTTTTAATCATGAAAGTTAATAGGTTGATTAAAAATTAATTAGTTTAATGATTTGAGAACAATAAGTAAATGTTTGTGTCATTGCCAGAATACGTAAAGTATTACGGCATAAGGCCAAAGTATTCAGAACTATTTTTGTACTAATTCAAAAGCTAATATAATTTTTAATATTTATGTGTTAACAATATATGGTGAAATATATGTTAATAGTGTAATACAAGAAAGGTATTATTCATGATTGTGTTCCCTAATGATAATGTTTGCTAAATGAATAATGGTAGTATTCAGTAGTAATGAAATATGTAAGTTTGCCTGTAAAATTAA